ATTTTACAGTTAGCTTTTTAATAGTAATAGGAATCTATAGTAACAAATTCAACATGCTAGCATGGTTTAAGTATACAGGGTGTTTCAGAAAAAGTGTTAGAGCCGAAGAGAAGTGATTTTGTAAGTGTTTCTGAACAATTTCCTTTGCCAAAATGCAAAATGAGGCATGGTTTTTAAATTATTAACAAAAAACACTGACTAATAAGAGCGCGTGTAGGGCCCACGCTGAACCACAGCCGAGCGTCACGATCCGAGCCAACCTATCCTGGGCTGACGCGGGCCCTACGCGTGCTCTCATTGGTCAGTGTTTTTTTATAGTAATTCAAAAACCATGGCTCACATTGTATTTTATCAAAGGAAATTGTTGTTCAGAACCACCCCTTTTCAGCTCCAACACTTTTTCTGATACACCTTGTATAGCCTATACATCCTTAAATGACGTTTCTGTTGGCAAGTCCTGGCTTGGAAGGACGCTAATTTCACACGAATTATTAATTGCATTTATCATTATTATGAAGTGAAACGTAAAACGATTCGTAAATAGTTCGTATTTCATATTATGAACATAACTTATGCTCTCAGTTCGTTAAACTCTGCATCGGTTCATCGAATTTTGTAGTTGCTGGCGTCGAGATGACGGAGGTTACTTACGTGAGGAACCCGTATCCCTTGCCAGAAGTTCACAGGGAAGGAACTTGGACCCGTAGACCGGTGCTCGGGAAGAAAGTGGTACCGCGAGATAAAAATTGGAGCAAAGATCTGAAGGCTTTCGAAAGACTGTTCGCGCATCACACTTTGAACAGCATAAGGAAGGATCACAGGCTGTTCAGACCAAAGGTGAACGAAAATACGCCATTTTCCATTTTAAACGCGACCAACCGAAATAATTGTTTTTTAGGTGCCAGACGATTCTTTGGATTTGGCACTGACCACGGTTTACGAACATGGCACAGACTGTTTGGTCCCTAAATCTTATGTGCCGATACAACCGGAAAGTCTGAACAGAAAAACATGGCGGGTATTGAAGAACCGAATCGCGGTAATGTATATAGAATCAATTTAAAATTAAGTGAATTAATTATTTGAAAATTAAGTGACTAACGGTGAGAGGTAGAACGATTTCGGGATAGCCGTTGATTAGAGATGAATCAGGCTGATCCCGGTGGGAACCAGTTAACACATTGCTGACCGGCAACTTTTCTGAAAATTTACCTCATGTGCCCGGCTATTGTTTTGAAAGCGGATGTGGAAGTAAAACAATATAAA